GAGCAGATAGTCCTCGTGTAGCTTTGCGCGAAATTCAAAACAAACTTTATGGCATTTTTGACTATATTATGCAAAACTTACACAGACGTAGAATGAAGAATTAAATTTAGGATAAATACTATCTAATCAAAAACACATTAGGTGTGAAAAAAAGGTGCTGCCAAAAAGAATTGAGTATGCGACTTAAAGAAATGAAATCAAAATTGGCGGCCAAACTGGTTGTTACACTTACAGCATTAATAAGAATTTTACAGAAAATATTCATTCATTAGTTAGCCAGGCCGCGTTTTTTGTTCAACGCGGGACATGATGGTGGGTAAAACAAAATATGCGGCCTAGCTAATTAATGAATGCATATTTGCTGTAAAATACTTATCAATGCTATAAGTGTAGCTACCACTTTGGCCGCAAATTTTGATTTCATTTCTTTAAGTCGCAAACTCAGTCCTTCTTTGGACGCACCTTTTTTTTCACACTTAAGGTGTTTTTGATTAGATATAACTTTTTGTCAATTCATACCAACAAACCACAGCAACTAAAAGTGACACTCGATAGTAACCCACATTAGCTTTAAAATCACAACCCTATTATTCGGAACAGACCTTTACTTTACAGAATCAACCAGATTCTTTAAAATATATGGTGGTAGTTTTCCTCTCTAAAACAGTATTAATAGCTTTTTTTTATAGTAACGTCAGAGAATTTAGATTAACAGTTTTTGGCCATCACGCCCGTGCAATCGGCCATATCAAACATAAATATTTATGCTAATTGCTTAAGCTAAACATTCTTCGATTAGGATTATTTAATAAAGTCTAGTAAACTTGTGCTTAAAAATTTACAATGAATAATCAATAATAACCGTTCACCCGTATGGTTCTTTTGAAAATTTGAGCTAGAAACTGCTAATCTAGTTTGCTTGGCCTAACCAGTACTTGTGTATCTGCACGTTCTTTCACCTTATAGTTTTGCTGCTCTAAATCAGCCATCTTCAATCCGAATGACAAAAAACTAAAAAAGGTTCCACATTAACTCTTAGATTAAGCTGTAGTAAAAATGTTAGACCGATAGCTCACGTGACTTTTGCGTAGGCGTTCGCTAATATTTTGGTCAAATTTGAGTAGTTTTTGTTGAATAACTTTGCACATGTAGCTTATATTTACACCAAATGAGATTCCTAATTATAGGTTGTAAAGATCTATCAGTGTACTAAATATGAAAAATATCCATAAAAGTTAAGTATTTTTTTCTATGAAATAAAGTCTCCGTACTTTTGGTGCGAAGAAAAAAAAAAGAAGAAACTCAGTCAAAATTGGAGATGTTATATCTCGGATATTTCTTAATGGTATGTGAAGTAAGAGTCCAGTAGCGTACATCCACTGAAAATATGGGATAGTTTGGGTCACTTCAGTCCGAGATACAAAAGGTGGAAAATCGCTAACCTATCACTCCTATTAATCACAAACAGTGTGTCCTTCAGCAGATTGTTTGGACCGCACGACACACTACCGTATGTCTTGATAATGCTATAAGAAGATAGAAATACGTGTTATATACATATACCACAAAGTCGCTATAAAGTGTACCCAGATGCAATGGACTTTTTGCTTTCAGTACTTACTATACCAGTTGAACCAAGTCCAAAGTTACCACTCCACAGGCACACTGGTGAAAGTTAGAGAGAAAATGAATTAGTCACTAACCAGATGTCATTTCCAACAGATAAGGTGTTCCGTCAGAGAATATGCAATCACCATCTGGTACAAGTGCCAAATATGCACGCTTTGGTGGGGTCACTGTATTTTAAGACCAAAAAAATTTTTTTCTTGAGCTAAGATCTTCCAAAAGGTTGACTAAGCACAAGTCTTGTTTCCCTTGACTGAGACCAAGGGCTCAACAACTAACTGCTACTAAAACACCGATATCCTCCATACCACCATCACCAAAAGCTACCCCATGATTTAGCACAGGTACAGCTGAGATTAAAGCTCCACAACATATCACCTATGACCATCATTAGGCCAAATTTCAGAATATAAAAGGCATTGTTAGGAACAAGCCACAAAATGAACCAAGACATAGTTTTATATAATTGAGAAAATGACCAGTTGTGAAGAAGATTAAAGCCCTGATATCAATTAGGAGAAGAAGTACAATGAAATTCTATAACGTTGAGCTACACTCAAAAGGCTCTGGAAAAAGCCAAGAAAATCATATGCCAGACCACTTTCTACAGCAAATGACCCATGATCTAGACTATCCAGTCTAAAGTAAGGTGCGCGAGCTTATTGTCACTGATCAACGTGAAGGCAACCATTAAGCAGCACTGTTTGCCTACATGACTACTCTTAAATGAATAGTTGGATTGATTGCCACTTATATAATGTGTTTACAGTTGAAGGCATATAGCATGTTTGAAGGCATATTATGGACTCGAACCTTGAGCTATCTGATTCACATCCTGACATGCTAATTCCTAATCTACACCTAATCCATTTTACAAAGGAACCATAAATTTGTATTTTCTTCATTTCACGCAGTCATCATGCCTTTGAACTCCTCTAAGCAATACCATATTTCTGAAATTCAAGATTACAGACTTTATGAAGTCACAATTGCATATTAAGTGTGTATTAAAGCAATTTTTTCCATACACTTACTCTAAGTACTTTTGTTTGCAAATTAAAAAGGCTATAATCTCACAAGATATACTTCTATAATATAGTAATGGTATATATTTTAAGAATTGTTGTAAGCTATATTTTCAATATTTCAATTTAGATGTTTGCTAATTACAATGATGAGTAATTTATTGAAATAAGTGTCTATTTAGTTACTCGATCAGATAATCCTGTAACTTTCGAATGATACCATTAGTTGTTTTTTGGGGGCTTTAATCGATTAAAGTTCAGTAATCAACAAGAGAGATTACTTTACTTCAGCCTTATTCTTATTTGTTATGGCACCTATAAATTGGTCATATGGCAATGAAATAATCATTTCACGAGAAGCATCTTACTAAGATAATTGGGCAAACCTTTCCAAATTTTCTGCAAGTTTGGCTAAGATCTCTATTTTTCTCCATATTACGTTCCAAAACGTTGCTATGAATACTTCTTTCTGGTGGTCACTCCAAACTGCTCAGCTGGAAGGTTACTTAATGTTATGGTTACTTTTAAATGGACAGTAAGATGAATAACTTGTTATTTGTCTCACCCATTCACTATGGAAATTATTTAGAACTGAGTTTGATATCCCTCCCATGGTATCTTTCCATCATAGTCCATTGGTTTCTCAGTTAATGTTGTTGACTTGGCTGGCTAAATTCTGGAACTCGATTTGGTATTGACATCATTGAAGTACTACACGAAGTTCCTGCAGTAACAGATGGAATAACAGTAATGGTAATAGGTGTAGAAAAATAAATGTTGCTCTTCCAAATTTTACATTATATGGTGTTTTAGCTTGGAATTCTTAGGCAGATGCAGAAAGAGGTGTTGCTGGTTTAGTCTTTATGTTTACCAATTATTTTTCAAATGTTTTATTTTGTCACTTTTCTTTTTGCATTTCTTTGATTTTGTAATTACAGCCTTTCTGTATTTCATTGATGTCATTCTGCACTTTTTAAAAGCCTGTTGTTGTAATTTCTGTATTCATCCCTAATATTTTCCAAAGCCATGTATTCAATAAAATTTATTTTTGTTTTTAATTTGTATTCAAGCATTAGATTTCTTTTTTTTTAACTTCTCTCTTGAATTCCTGTGCCTTATCTCTTGATCTGCTATTAATTTTTATAAATTTCTTCTTGGTCTTTGAATTTTCTGTCTCATTCTTCAGATTTTCTGTTTGTTGTTAACTTTGTGCAAAGCTACTCGAGGGTTATCTGCTTTAGCTGTCTCCATAGGGAAGGCAGTTAATCAAAACCACCCAACACCAACTCTTGAGCTACCTGTTACCAATGAATAGTGGGATTGACTGTCATATTATAATGCCATCATGAGTGAATGAGCAAGCAATTTTGGGGATAGGATTCGAGCCTGCGACTATCAGATTGTGAATTGAGAGCCCTAACCACCACATCATGCTAGGCGCAGATTTTTTGCTTTTTCTTTTTTGTTCTTCTTCTTTCAGTTTTGTTTCTTTCTCCTCGATCTTTTTTTTAATTGTTTCGTCATTTCCAATAAAGCTTTGATTTTACCTCTTGCCTGGATTGTAGTATTGAAGTTTAGTAAAGATTATATTTTATTTTCACCACAATAACCCCACTTTTGACACAAGTGTTTTAATGTGTATTCTATTGTTGGGGGGGGGGGATCTTTTGGATTATTTAGTAAAAATAATTCCAAGTCCAGACCAAGTAACGATAAAGGCTACATTCACTTTGATGCAAGTTATAAGCCTAAGTGCACAAGTAGTGTTTTAACAAAAATTTCTTGCTAAGGGTACACACATAACTTACAAATAAATTTACTTGTAGAATTTCATAAAGAATGGATCAAGTAGATGAATAGATGCGATTTATGATTACTTATATTTACATTGTACGTTCGTTTTTAGATATTTGACGAATCTTCTCGATTATTACATTATAATGAACTTTCTAGATATTACATCATCGTCATTGTTAACAGCTCCCTCCAAGCATCTAAATTAAAATATAGCTTTCAACAGAATTTATGAGTGAAAATAAAGTAGAATGAACATGTCAACAACATGATAAGGGAAAATACCACTTTTTTGGTTGGCGGACCTTACTTCGTGTTTCTAGATTTTGCCTTTTTTTATGTTTCTGTGATAACAGCTGCGTAAGCTCTTTGTTACTAACTTACCACACATGCGCTAAAATATATCAAACTGTTACTTGCTCTTATGCATGAATATTAGCATCCGTGTGCAAAACTATTTCATCACCCAGTTATAGAGAAATCTACTGAACATACCTATATTTTGAAATGTGGTTAACCCATTACAGAAAGGTTTAAACTCTTCTGTTCTACGTCATCAGACGAATGATCCTGTCGCATTGCATTTGTAAGCAGGGAGTTGAGACTGTTCGATGTCTGTGTTTCAGTTTAATTTAAGATAAGAATCAACGGATATCTGTTAGTGTTACCGAACCAGAAGCTACTTTCGAAATTTAATTCGGTGAGACATTTTTCCTTTACAATATAGAAATATAGATTGAGTTTTTTTATCATTCATTATTTTATTTAAAGCTTAGCACTACTCCTCTACCGCCTTTATTGAGTGACTAGCGTTGGTAACTCGGTGTCGGAAAAGTAAAACTAAAAGATGGAAAGATTGACACATCTGTAATCTACACTTCAGTGCACTGTACAGTGTAGATTGTGGAGATTCGAAAAATTGTGTAGAGTAACACAAAAAATACTGCTTCAACGCCGAAAGCCAGCGAAATATTGGAAAGCTAATAGGTCTAGAAAAATACGTGTTTTTTCAAATATCTTTATTTCTAAAATAGTCCAAAGCAAATTATAAAATTAGTAGTACTCACTAGTAGTATTAGTATTGCTACCAGTACTATAATTATGTTGTTAAACATCAGCTATTCAGTGTAACTGTAAAGTTTAATGGCTAATCAGAAATTTGAAAATTGAATGTATGAATTAATCATTTTAGATGCAAGTAATGAATTGAAACTCTAATTGGGAAGGCTAAGTACAGATATTTTTGTGAGGAACACTAGTAATAATAGTTTTAGTAGTATGATATATGATACCATTTCTTTTGTAATTTTTATTATAAATATAATGTCATTTACTCTTAAACTTAACTACAGAAAAAGAAACTGATATCAATTTAAACCAAATTTACTACTTGTGTAGAAGCTTAAAACAAGTTAGCTTTCCATATTTTTGATATGTTGTCTAGCTTATCTGTTACTGTTAGTGTTTGAACATTAAAATTTGCCTTAAACATTTTTAATGTGGTTCTCAGTTTGGTCTTGTGATAATATTTTGGTATTTGTAAACACTAACAGTTAAGATATATAATTTTTAAACTTAAACTCTGGTTTGATTATTGGGTAAATACTTTGATATGTTGAGTTATGCAGAATTTTCTAAGCTTGAGTAATTCTAATCAGTCCTGTAATAAAGATTTTAAAATTGTTACACTTAAAGATTGGAAACTTGAATTTTATAGGTTAATTCATTCATTAAAATTTTAAATAATCAAAATTAAGGTCAAGTATATTCAGAATAAGCAGAGTAGCATGGTGTGTAAAACATATATATGTGTGATATTTTAGGATAGACCCAAATTGTATTAGTTTAAGGACATGATTTGAGTAGCTGGATTATTGCATAGTTTTGGGAGTAAAATATCTTTATCACTGAATAATATTCCATAAAAAATAATAGCATAAAAAGTGAGGTGACTGAAAGACATTTAGCTGATTGAAGTTTCAATATAAATTATTCGTTATAAGAGAAACATTCTTTTGTAGCATTTAGTAAGGTGCTAGTATTCTCCACAATTCTAAGTTTTCCTTGCAACACAAATCTTTCGGAGGGCTGAGTATGTAATGTTCAGATGAAGTTAAAATGCAATCAACAAGTCGTATGATAACCACAGCCAGGTTGGGGTGGAATGGAATGTACTTGAGCTATATTTTAACAGTGCTTGGCATTTTGTAGGTATTGTGATGCTATCAGGAAGTGACCATGTTTTGGAAATATATGTAATAGCTCTTTTCAAAGCAAAATATTCATACACTCGGATCATAAAGATGTGTTCAGGTCATGGATTTAAAATTTTCAAGATGGAGATATCCCTTATATTTAATGATATTGGGAAACAAAGGAATATTTATCAACTTTGACGTCAGGATCATCCACAGACACCTGTGGCAAGTTATACCTAATTTGTGATAAGTAAATTGTTACAGGTGAGAATTCACAGACCCAAAGGTCATTGGTAAAAGCTATATATGTGTCCCAGGCAACATAATGGATCTCCGTCAAGCAAAGTGACAAAGGTTGTATGTACACAAGTTTCTTCCATAACATATTAACTCAATGGTCGCATATCTCGTGCAACAGGAAAATGAAAAGGACATTAGTATTATTCCATATGAATATGAAAATATACCAATCAAGTTTTTGGATGCAATGCTTATAAATTCCTGCATGAATGGACTGTTGAAATGGGTGCTGGAAACTGTTTTTCATATGCTAGATGAATAATGGAAAGTTGCAAGGGGGATAGAGGTATGCTATGAACATGCCAGCCTTATGACGGAGCCTTTTGTAAGGGAACTATGCAGAAAAACTCTTGTCAAATAGAGCTAGGTGATTAATCAATATAATTGATTGTCTTTGAGCACCTATTACATAGATTAATATAAAGTATAATAATCATAATTACAATTAATATCACTAAAGTAATTAACTAAAAAAATTAATGTTTTGGATTATTATTATTGTTTGATTTTACAACTATCCAGGTCTCACATGACTAATTGATTAGTTGAATGTAATTCTTTGAGGTCAACAATTAATATATTAGCAAATTCCACTAATTGCCCAGCTCTATTTTCAAGATGCATGGTCATGAGATAGAGTAAGATTGAACATAGGCTGTAATGACATTATGAGGCTTCAAAGTTGTTTTAATATAATGTACTTTTAATCTCTGTAAGTTATGGACAGGACTAGATCAGCCAAAACGGTGAGTTGGCAGTTGCATTCTCTGTTAAAGTATTAGGTTGGAAAATGTAGTAATTCTGAAACACTTAAAAGAAACCAGGGGTCTTATGGAGAAAAGGTAGACCCATAGAAGTGAAGTTGTTTATGAACCCAATGTTGTATTAGTCTGACCGTGGTTATTGAACTCATTATTCTAACCTTGTTCTTGTATGTGTAAATTGTGTTAATCACCTCTCATTTCTTTTTGTTTGGATTATTATTTTAAAATAAATTTAAAATAAGATTCTACCTGAAATATGATTCAAACATCAGCAGTCATGGGAAACTGTCAAGACAGTTAGTGTCTCAGACTGTTAAGCCATTCCCTCATTACTAATTTATCATATGCACACTAGACCATCATCAGTTTTAACGTAATTGTTGCAAATAGCATGGTACAATTATTGGCCATCTGATCAACTTGTTCACCTAATCAACCTGATTTACTGAAAGTCATAGCAACACTTGCGTGCATATGGCGTCTTAACTCATTTACGTGAATGTAGACTAATGACTGTGTAATAAACCTCAGTACAACCCAGTGACAGTAAATTGTCTCACTGGGAGAGTAATGTTACAGTTAACTCTAACTGGGAATAAGTTGAAATCATGAATCAGTAAGATTAAAAAGCAACCCACCTAAATGATAGAGGACTCCATTCACTTGTACTTATTATTAAAAATGTATTGACTCAGATATTGACTTTAAGATATCTTGCCACTCTACCTTTAATTATGTTCAGTGTTGGATACTAAGAAAACAGAAAACTACATAAACATGTATTGTGCATTCATCCTACTGAGAAATCCCATATACAATAACATACCATACATATATTATATTGCCCCTGAGCTACGTTTCACTGCCATGACCAAGACAATGCAAGGAAAACCTTATGAATAGTAGTGATAGAAAATTTTACTTAGAAAAGTATTGACATGGTTATGTATTTACAATTTTTTATCTCGTGACCAGATTTTATTCACTTGTAAGTTAATTTCATTATGTAATGTAGTTTAACGTTTTGGGTCATGACTTGTCTGTTTGGATCAACTTTCTTTAATGATTACACACTTTCAGTTAACTGTTTCCGAAGAGTTAATTTAACCTCTCTTGATGAATGTTACTGTAAGTTTTCTTAAGCTGATGATTCCATTTCTGTTTCTCCAAGTTTTTAGTGATACAATAGGCTTTGATATAATTAATATATATAGTTAAATTTGCAGTGATATCCAGTCATCACTTTGCTTCCATGTCATATAAGTGTATAACAACGTAAACCCAAAATTCTTTATAGATTTATGTGAAATTTTCTGAATGACTAAAAAGGAAGCCAGGAAGTAGACTTGTTTGTTTAAATGTTGACAACATTATTATGTATACTTCTGTATGTATATCTTGCAGCTATCATTTTGATCTTCAATTCTATCTTTGCAAACAGAAGTAGCATTTGTGATTTGTGTAACATTACTAGCTAAAGGTGGTATTGAAACATTATAAAGATAACTTTTAAGCCAGTACTTGTACTTCATTCTCTTTATTTGGAACAAAACTGTCATTTTGTTTTCTATAAACTCTTGTGAAAAATACATGTAGCATACTTTGGTGATGACTGTGTTCATCAATTGTATTTTTGAGATAGCTGTGGAATATGTCCTTTTATCATACCCATGTTTTTGTATCTGTCTTTAGATACTGTCTGCTAAAATTCATGGTTATCACAAAAAAGAATGTTTATTTAAGTCTATTTATTATGTGTTGCAACTTGCAACAATTCTTGTTTTCTGAATATTTTAAGCCATTTAAAGTGTAATATAAATTTGCATCTTCTTCCTTACTCTAAATTATGGGTTAGTCTGTATATCATTTCCAAGTTCTAAGATAAATTGTTGACAGTGTTATTGTTATGCAAGGAAATTGGAATAATATTAATTTGTATTCAGTTGTTTCATTATTTGGAATTTTTTCTTAAATTTTTTAGCATGAATTATAAAACTTAAAAGCTACTTATAACTATTAGTATCAAGAAAATTGTCATCTAAAATCATAGCTTAGAATAATATAATATTGTAAAACGTCAATGTAACTTACAAGAGATAGCTACTCTTTACAAGGGCTTGTAATTATCAATAAATGTGTGATTATAAGAAAGTATGCTGCTTTTTAAGAAAAATGTTGTTTTCATAATTGCATCCATTAATATTATAACATGCAGGTAATACCATTTTGTTGTGTTTCAGACTTTGTACTGCATACTGGACTTGGAGATTTTGTCAATAAAGTTAGCAAAAAATATTTTTACATCAAAATGGCTTTGTACTATAATCCTGATGAAGTTGCAATGTTGAAACATTGATTTAAATAAAACTTTTTTTTTATTATTATCATGTGGAGAGTAGAGGTAATTTTTTCTAACTATTGCCAAACTAATACCATTAACTAAAACTGGATGAGCTAAGTTAGCAACTTAGTATATTGGTAATAAGAATGTAGAGTAATTTTGTGTCGCTGATCTATAAAATAAGGTAGTGCTGTTAAGAAAGAAATCGTTCAGTTGCTTGATATTGGTATCTGTAATAAACACAAGTTATACATTATTTATTGCAATGTTTTGCCTAATTGACTGTAATTCATGATTTTCATGTGTTATACTTCAAGATTTTTGATTGTGTGCTTATGCATTATCAAACTTGTGGTGTTTTGATTATTAATAAATATATAAACTTTTTTCAGAACAAGACTTAAAAACTCCTTGAAACTGCTGAAGTCTTCTGTGTACTTCACTTTGCTTTCATCACACAATGGGAAAACCTAAGTGTTTCTGTGGTTACCTTCTCCTCCTCATTGAGACAATAAACAGCTTTTGTCTTCTACGCTGTGTGGAATTAGACACTTAAGATTTGACATGGGCTTGACATAGCAGATTTGAAGAAAGTGGAGTGTGTGTGTGTGACATTTTCTTTGGCTTAAACCATTATAAAATACATGAATTTATCCCTTTTGGGGTTTCATAATTTCCAGTACTGGCAGTGATATAGAGACATTGTTCAAGATGACAGTTACTTACTCATTGAATGTATCCAAAGCTCGGCTTTTGGGTTTTGCTAAACTTTTACTGAGATGGAGAGGCAGCATTTATAAACTGTTGTACAGAGAGATGATAATTTTTTGTGGTTTGTACTACAGTCTTAGTGCACTTTACCGCTATATTTTAACAGAAAATCAGAGAACGTAAGTAATGATCAAGTTTGTTTAGATATACAGTAACACTATTTTAAAAGCTTTGCATGTTATATAATTAACCAGGTAGAATGTTTATATGTGACTTGTAATGTGTAAATAAATGAACTGCTTGTTTTATTTTGTAGTATCTAGTCTTTTCAAGTTTCATTTGATATTTGAATGATACATAGATTTTATTTTTCATGGAAACCTTGTGAGAGTTCAGTTAAAAAAAAAACAACCTTTTTTTTGGGGGGGGGGGAATTTGAAGTATTTGTTGATTAGTAATTATTAATAGCGGTTTCTTTCCTGAAGAATTGTTTCAAAATACTCTACATAATAAGGATGAACAATTTAGTTGATGGATTATGATTTGAAACTGTTTTGCTAGTTTCTTTATTACAATCTTCAAATCTTTTTATGCCTCTGAAACAAAATCTTAAGTAATCTGCATGGTTGATGTGGCACCTCAGACATATCTAAGTTAGCCGTGCTCAACCATGAAAAATGTTGGTTTGAACAACACCAAAGCATTCGTATTAACATTGTACAAAGTAGTTTGGAGGTTCTCTTGTTTTATTAGTTCAGTAATTGTGTGCATTGTTTGTCAGTTATGTAACTTGTGCTACAAATGCTCATATCATTTACTTGCATTTCTTTGTGTTGTTTGGGGGGTCATTATTGTAAGTCTGTGCACTTGGGCATGACCAGTGTGGTTCATATCTGTTACTTGCCATGAATGAGGCTTGCTAATGCAATGGACATATTTTTCTTCCTTTTGCTCAAAAATGAAATGAAGATAGTTATATTTATAACTTAGAACATACACACAATTGGGTAAAATATAGGCCAAGGCATGGAAATTTGCATTTGACAGGTCAAAATGGCAGGCTTGCCACTAAGTCTACAATGAACTGTTTTCAAGGAGACACTCACTTAAAACACTGCATGTGTCATGATGAGAGCTTAATGATGAACAAGATCTGTTTAAATAAAAAATCTACGCAGGTTTTAAAAATAAAGTGGGACTGTCACATTTATACTTATGAAAATCCCTTTTTATAACTATTTTGTGCCTTATCACATAAGGTTGAAGTGTCATTTGAATCTTTCATATTCACCATATTTATGAATAAACAGCCACAGACTTCTTAAGTGTACTTAATCCTCCCAGCGTAAATGTAACTATGAAGACAGAATATAATTGTACAATAGGAAGAATGGAATGGTACTTACCCATTCACGTTGTACTTAGAAATGGCACCACTGGCTATTCACTGTGTTTCAATACATTATGGTTGTGCTAAGGACACTAGTTTTACTGTTAACCTGCACACAGATGTGGCAACAAAAAGATTTATTATTTACTTGTAGTCCAAAAGAAGGTTTATTTGAACCCCTCCCCCCTGTGTGCCTTGTATCTGACTGTCGGAGCCATGAGTTACGTAAGAGTTGATGGTCTTCCAGAATTCTTGATGATTAGCTAAGACAACACCTAAAACACACTAAAAGAAAATGTATTTACACTTCTAGCTTTATTCAACTATTTTGTATGTTAAACCCCATAATTGACTCATCATGTAGAAGCTGATCATTTTCATCTTTAAATTATAATGCATATACCTTTACAGGCTTCATTCGTATTGATTGTATTGAAAGGTTAACTTTATAAAGATCTTAAATTTTCCAAATAATTTTCACATG